GTGTGTGTGTGTGTGTGTGTGTGTGTGTGTGTGTGTGTGTGTGTGTGTGTGTGTGTGTGTGTGTGTGTGTGTGTGTGTGTGCATGTGTGTGTGTGGGTCTTCATTTCGGCTTTGTGTGTGTGTGTGTGTGTGTGTGTGTCGTCATGGCGAGTTTGTATCTGACAGTGTGTGTGTGTCGTCCTGGCGAGTGTGTGTGTGTGTGCGTGCGTGAGAGTGTGTGAGCGTGTGTGTGTGTGTGTGTGTGTTGTCATTTCGAGTGTGTATGTGTGTGAGAGACAGAGACAGAGTATGTGTGTGTGTGCATGTCATCATTTTGAGTGTGTGTCTGTGTATGTGTGTGTGTGTGTGTGTGAGAGAGAGAGAGAGAGAGCTGGTGGGTGCCCACCTTCATGGCTGCCCGCCGGTCTCCTGCTGCCCGCCGGTCTCCTGCTGCCCGCCGGTCTCCTGCTGCCCGCCGCCGCTTCCCGCCACTGCCTGTCACCGAAGGTGTCCCGCCGCTGCCGTCTGCCGATGGTGTCCAGCTGTGTCCCTCCCTCCCTCCCTTGTCGCCCTTCCAGTTCTCCAACCTTCGTCACCCTCCCGCTTCTCCCACCTTCGTCGCCCTCCCGCTTCTCCCACCTTCATCACCCTCCCGTTTCTCCCACACATATATATCGTCAAATAATTTATATATACGATATATATCGCCATTTTTTTATGCTTAACCACAGCAAGAGTTAAGGTGGATTATCACTTACAGTGTAATCAGTTAAAGGATTCTGCAGACTGTTGAGGGTTCAGCCTCCTGATGAATCGGTGAAACTCCGACGAAACAGTTGGTCACAGCCCCTCGTTCGTTGTCCTCTTCTCCCTCTCTGCCTACGGTTTACCGGGCAGCTCTGACTGATGATATATATATATATATATTGTCACATCRCTACAAACTAAAAGAGCGCACTTTGCGGAACAAAGAATAAAAGCAAAAAACGGGCACAGTGATAACATGCATAAATAAAAATAAAAAGAAAAACAAAAAAGAAAAAACAAGGGCAGATTGAAACCATTAAATTTCTCATTCTTCTTTGAACTCCACCTCCACTGTGCCTCTCACGTGCAAGGCTCGCCACGTTGATGAAGTT